TCCGAGTGCATGGCCAAGCTGGAGACGCCTGCTCTCTTCAGGGGTCTGTGATCATGCAAGGCGAGCTTGGCCTCCCCAGCAGTGTGGGGCCACATCTCTGGTCCTTGCTCCTCGGCCCTTCCTGCTCAAAGATGAACGAGGAAGCTTTTGCTTTCAGGGGGCTGGAGACTTCCCAAATGCCATCACTGCTGCAAGGGCTTTCCTGTTTTGCAGGGTAGGGTGGCCTTTGGCAGGAGAGGGAAGGCAGCCAGCGCTGAGCGAGGTTTTATTGCCCATGTGTCTTCAAAAAGTAGCTGTTTGATGTGGTTAATCTTTATTCAACACCAAAGGCTGCAGCGGCAATAAAACCAGCCCACAGCTTCTCCAAAGGGGCTCCAGAGACTGGCACTGGGAGCAGGCAACAGCCCTGGGACAGCAAGAGAGCTGGCAGCAAGTGGGGGACATGGAGAGCTGCAGGAAAGCTCTGTTTTTCTGCAGGAAAGCGATGTTCAGCCCTGCTGGGACGGCACCTCAGCAGCTGCCAGCACAGAGGGGTGATCTTGGCAGATGCACAGCAGCAAAGACTTGCAGTGGTGGTGGGTGGAGGGGGGAAAGGAAAAACTATCAAGTGCAAAAATCAGGTATTTTACGTCTCTGCACTGATGGTGGTTGTGTCCCGTGGACACGCTGAGGAGCCTCTGTACAGTTTCCCACACAGCAGGAGTTCTGTGGTCCCGTTTACTATATGGCTAATGATTACAGGAAGAGTTTGTATTATTTCAGTTACGATGTACAGATAAGTGTAATATATTCCTGATAATAAATACATGCGCCAGTGCACAGAGGGGCTGACACATACAAACTGTGTGTCCTACAGTGTCTTCTGTACATCTGTGCACACAAACTGGAATAAATGGAAAACAAACCAAAACTCCATTAAAGATTACCCCATTATGGTAAAGATTGAAGCTACACAGCCACTTGGCCTCCCGGCAGAGGGGCTGATCAGTCAAGTTACCTGACTATGGTTCACATACTATAAATTAGATTAAAAAATCCCATTGATTCATTTTCTACGGTTGTTTTGTGTAGGGCTGGGGCTCCTGGGAGACCAGGGATAGTGGTCTGCAACGCTTTTATTAAGGTGTCACGCTGCAGCGT